TATCTGATATAAAACAAATTGTTGAAGACTTTGAGATCAAGACGTTTTTTGAAGATTTTAAAGATTACATTTTATCTTTTGACTTGGGCCCATACATTGATCTGCTTCAATACACAATCCCATATTCAGATATAGAACACAATCTGGAGAATATGAGAGATGTACTTGCCAATTGGATTGACGAATATGAAATCCCACAAAAACTCAATGCCGTTTACTCTTACTTAAAATATCAAGTCTTGAAGTACAATCTTGATGTGAAATTTAAAGAATTTTTGGACGAGCTTGATCAACTAATTGAGCATTTGAAAATTGAAGAGACTGTACAAAAAGTTGTAGATACTATCAAAGGTATAGATTTTAACCTTGCATACAATAAAATAATGGACTTTTTGCAACATGTCATAAATGTCCTTCAAGATATGGATTTCAAGAAACTTATTGAAAGTCTTAATCATAACATTGCTAATTGGGTTAAGTCAATAAAGGAGTTTGACTACCATATGTTTGTAGAAAAATCAAATAAGAAAATTGAAGAGCTGACCGATTACATGAATCAACAAATTAAAATATACGAAATTGTTGAGAAGGTCGAAGCGGTGAGGGAGTTCATCAGAGAAACCCAGAATTCTGTCTACACCTATTTAGACAGACTGAAAAACACCAAAGTGGCTGATGCTCTAGTCAGGTTGAAAGAGGTAATGGACTCAACATTTTTCAATGATGTCAAGCTTAAAGCACTAGATATTCTTGATGATATACAACAACGTATTTCAGATATGGATGTCATTGACGAAATAACGGTCTACCTCCAAAGAGCAAGTGAATTTTACAAAAATACTTTGGAATTGATCTTGGTAAAACTGACTGAATTCATTGGCGAAATTGCAATGTTGTTTAACAAAAGTGATTTAGATGAAGTAAAAACAGCCATTATTAATGCTCTGAATACAATCAAAGATGCTGAGGTTAAAGTACCAACATTCGCTATTCCTCTGACTGATCTTGTCATCCCTGAATTTTCCCTCAATCTGAAAAATCTAGATAAAATTGGTATACCTAACCAGATAACAATACCAGAGATTACCATTTTGAACACATACACAATCCCTTCATACACAATTGACTTTGAAGACCTGAAAGCCAAGATAATCACTTCGATAGACAAGCTGAAAAAGATCAAAATCCAATGGCCTGATCCACATGAAATATTTGGAGACCTCAAAGTATTGTACCTTTTCCATTTGCCAGATTTGACATTTCCAGAAATAACTTTGTCTGAAGTCAAAGTCCCTACCGTAACCATCCCAAAAATGAACTTAGAGACATTTGAAATCACAATGCTACATATTCCAATAATCAAAATGCCAGAAATCCCAAGCGAGATTTGTTTTCCTGTTTTTGGAAAACTTTATGGAGAATTTAGACTCGCCTCACCACAATATAGTCTTATTACAACAGGCCACATTGAAAATGCAACAAACGCTTTGAAAAATCCACTTTTTACTGCCTCATTCACCTCCCAAGCAACATCAATATACAAACCACTTGAATACAACCTTGAACTTGATGCAAAGTTGGAAGCCCCAAGGATGAAGAAAATGATATTTGCTGAAACAGTCAAAGCAACCCACATGGCTTTTTCACTCAATCACGAAGGATTACTTACCTTGACAAGCTCGGCCGCTGAAGCTACTGCAAGGACTAATGTCAAAGCTACAACCCTTTTTTACACTGCTGATTTGACCGAAAACATGGCTCTTACTCTAAAAGGTGGAATTGTTGCTACTTGTGACACAATGTACAACCACAACTTGGATCTTCCAGCACTGGAGTTTTCAAGCCAAGCTAATGTCAAGCATACAGGGGCTACCACTTTGGAATCTGAGAAAGTGTCGGTCACAGCGGAAACGAATGCAAATTGTAAATGGTCTATTGGTGATTACTCCGATGAAGGCACTCACAACAATAAACTGGAATACAACATCAATCTAAGCATGGCTAGGCTTACATATGACGCAAACACCGATGCTAAATGTTTCCAATCGAAGGAAACATTGACGGTAGAGTCTGTCATTCTAAGTCACAGTACAATAACTGCACGAAATGAAATGGAAATTCCATATTTCAAGAAAAGTGTGACTGTTTTTGATGCAGAAGCCAATATTCATGACTTAAAACTAGTCATGACTGCTACTCATGACTGTGAGTATTCCGGAAGTCTTAGAGGCACTGAATTAAGTACTGTAGATTTCAAGATACGTCCATTTGAGATCATACTTGATGCAAAAAACAAGGCAAACCTAAAGATTTTCCTTCCACTTAAACTCACCGGTAAAGTTGACTTCCAAAACGATTATTGCCTCATTTTGAACTCAGAGAAACAGAAGGCATGTTGGCTTGCTTTGGGTAGATTTAACCAATACAAGTACAACCACAATTTTGAAATGGAAAACAATGAGAAGGAGATATACTTGCAAAAAATTATCAACGCCGAGGCAAATCTAGAATTTTTGACAGTGCCCTTGTCCATCCCAGAAATATCCATTCCTATGTTTGACAAGAACACCCCTGAGATTATAGACTTCTCTCTATGGGACCATGCTGGACTAAAATACTTGCTCCACAACCCTCAACAATCTTTTGACGTTAACTTGAAACTTCACTATTTTAAAAACACTGAAAAGCATATTTTGGAATTGAATATAGAGCCTTTTTACAACGTAATAAGGGATAATGCCAACATTATTCAAGAGCATGTTGAAATGTTGAGAGAGAAAATAGTCAGCCTATTAAAAGAATCACATGGCCAAGTAACGAAACGCTACATCAAGCATAAGAAAGACACATCAAGCATGCCTCCAAAAATTATTTCTATTCCAGGATACAAAATACCATTTCTCAACATAGGAGTTTCTGCGATCTCAGCTGAGTTACCTGCGTTCAGCTATATAGTACCCAAAGAGGTAAGCACCCCTGGCTTCAAGGTCCCTGCACTAGGTTTCTCTGTGCCCTCTTACACTCTTGTCCTACCATCTTTGGAATTGCCGTTCATCCACATTCCAGAAACTTTAAGCAAATTAGAGATGCCGACTTTCACATTTCCAGATCTACCGAACAATTTTGAAATCCCAGCTTTAGGTAACTTTACGCTTGACTTTTCATTCAAATCTGCTGTGATTTCAGTAAGTGCCAACGGTGATCTTGTAAACCAGCCTGACATAGTTGCTAGATTTTCTTCCAACTCTGCATCTGTTTTTGACATTTTGAATAGCAAAATGGACAGTACCAGCAGTTTGACCAGAAAAAGAGGTACAAAACTTGCCACCACCATCACTTTCGAGCACCCAAATATTCAAGGCAACCATGAATGCGCTCTTAGTCTCAGCAAGATAAGCATCACTTCCTCCATTGCCAATAATCTCAAAATTAGCCTTCCATTCCTAAATATAGACTTTGAACAAGCTATTGATGGAAATACCCAAATGACACCAACTGTTAGTGCTAAAAGTAAATTCAAATATATGTTTAATATTCCTGTGATTAATTCAGCAGGCAAAGGAACGCTTGATATGCAATCAGAACTTGAGGCTCTCCGGCCCTATATTTCACTCGATACTGTCATGCAAGGCAAGTCGGATCTCACTATTATGGATGCATGGAATATCGCTTATACTGTCAACAACAAAGCAACGTTTTATTTCAATGTCAACGGCCTTCGAACAACTGTTACAACTTCTGCTACCTCTGATGTTTTCAAACAGGAAAAGCTGAAACGAAGTACTAGTGATAACGTCTTGCATTTCGATGCAGTTAAAAATCTTGCCCTTGAAATTTCTTTGAGGCGAATTTTTGCAACAATGGATTATACATGCAATAATGAAGTAATGTTGGACTTTTTAAACACCAATGGTAATCATGTAGTGGCTGCTGAATTGGAAGTTGTTCCTTTGAAGTTACTTAAAATTAAAGTTGATTTTGATCTAAAACAGCCAAGCACTTTGGGCCATACCGGTTTTATTCATAACATCAACATGGCCATCACATCTGAGAAACAGTTACTCTCTTGGATTGCAAAGGAACAGATAGCCTATTTCATTCATGCATGCAATTTGGTCCTGGTCAATGATGAGACTGAAGCACGTATGGACTTAAGTGAATCTGTAGAAGGACATATGGGGTTCTTAAAATCTGTGAAGATTCCTGTTTATCAAAAAAACTTGTGGGATGTGTTGAAATTTGATCAGGTTACCAATATGGACAACTTGCAAGTGCTCAACATCTCATACAGTATTGTTTATACAAAATCTATGGACGGCCAGGAGTATGCCATACCTTACAGACTTTTTGAGGAAGGAGTTTTGTTTCGTATTCCTGCGTTTACCATTGCTGTGCCCAAATTTGTTACAAAAATCCCTGCTGCTATTAGAAAAATAGACATGAGATTTGAGGAAGTAGAAATTCCAGATTACGTCACTATTCCACCAATGTTGTCCATACCGGAACTTGATTTTCCATTCACCAATTTGCACATTGAACCATTCGTGTATGATTTCAAGCACTTAGAAATACCTAAAGTGATCTCAACCAAGGCGTTTGACATACTACTGCCAGGACTGCCAATTATTTCTGTACCCAGTTACAATATTAACACGGAATATCTGCAAGAAAAAATGTCTTTCCTTTCGGTCAAGATTCCACAACACGAGCTCCAGGTTTCCTCTTTCACTTTACTGAAATCAGTTACAGTTGGAGATCTCACAATTGATCTAAATGACATTTCAAGTTTTGAGCTTCCCATTTTTGAAATACCAGAGCAGACCATTGAAATCCCTGAAATGGAATTGTATCTGCCATCCAGTATATTCATCCCCGATTTCGGAGGTCTAAGTGCGTCATTTAAAATCTCATCCCCTATTTATAATCTATCAACCACTGGCAATATTGAAAAAAGGGGATCTAGCCTAAACACTGAGCTGAACTCCATCTGCACGTCCACTATGGTCTTTTTGGAGTATGACCTCACTGGTAAGGCTGATATTTTCACATTTACTCTAGCTACTAGTCACATTTACCGTATAATATATTTTGTCTGTTCTCTGTGTCCACTTAGCTTCTGCAACATTTGGATTTAATGATGATGAATTCAACCTCAAGGGAATTATCAATTTTGCTCACAGTGACGTCAATGTGAAATGGCAGCATAACTTTATCAGAAGTCCAAGGTAAGTAAGGGTATTTTACCATCATCCTTATTGATTTATTCATACTGGGCCAATTAAAAGTACAAACACTTACAATCAAATCCACACAAATATATAGATGACAGTGTTTCCATAAGGACTGGTATCACAGACCAATTGTAGAATATATATATTTTTTTACCAGAATCCTGAACTTAAGCATCATGGTAAGTTACTTGGACCTTCTGCTGTGTGCACCTTTTTAATTTAATTTGAACACACATGCAATTATCTGACTATCATGTTCGCTTATACAAAAATATACTGTTATTATTACAGAACATAATCATAATCACTACAGTCTGTAATGAAGTGACCCAAGTATTTTGCCTTACTGCAGACAGTTCCTGAAACGAGTAACACTGGGGACAACTCATAAGCCCGCAAACAGACCTATTACTCAAATTTTATTACTATTTTTGCGTTCTTTTGCAAGACAAAGACAAGTACATGTTATTTATGGTGTGTTACTTAAGTGTGAACACGCTATCTTTGAACTGACTTATGTGATGAGTGGACCTGTTTGATGCTTTCACATCTGAGTTAATTTGCAAAAACAGAGGCAATAGAATTAGAATATTATGTGAAATATGTGAGGTTGAGGATGACAACTTTCTGACTATCTTTTAAAACAGTGATATCCACTGTGTCTAAAAACAGTAATTCAAGCTATACATATATATATATATTTTTTGTTTTTTCTGACAGAATGAGACGTCAAGCCTCTTCATCTGATCTCTAGTAAGTGCAACCACCATCTTTTGTTTTCTTGGGATGGTGTTGGATTTTTGTATTTATTTATCTATTTATTGAGATGGGACAATGCACATTTATCAACATTGATGCTGTAAGCGTTAGAGTAAATGTGCCGGTGTTCTGTTGGTTTGTGCCGCTTATCGAGTTGAGCTGCCTCAGCTGTTTTTGATGTAATGAAAACCTGCACATCTCACTGCAGCCGATGCAAACCAACACGGCAACATAAAGTGCATGAATTGTTTAAAAAGTTACGAACAAACTAAGGGTGTCACTTTTAATGCAATTTGAGATGGAATCTTGATGGTTCCATGTTGTGATATGTGGGTTTTAAGAGTGTGGTGTCTGCTATTATTCATATTCTTTAATTCTACATACATTTATGGGTCTTCATATGTATAGAATGTGATGGGACATGTCAGCACTCAATGTCTAAGACTGCTGATCATTTCACTGAGTCATTAGACGGAGGGGACGTCTGGTAAGACAATAGAGACCCTCATCTGCATCTCGGCAGCATCTGTGTCATGGGGTGTCTTGTGACTCTCCTTATTTCTATAAGGGCTCACTGCTTTGTATATTCTTTGTCATTCCTTTGTCATTCCTTACCATCATTCTTGGAGCTGACCCAGGCTGAAAGCGCTAAGCCTGAATTTGTCTTAATGTGTTCTGGTTATGCCATTAAACTCTTTCTTTAATACATGTTATAACCCGGCTCTAGGCTATAACCAAGGATTTACCAAACAAACAAATGTCAATTATAAAAGTTTATTATAAGAGAAAGCTGGAATAAACTAATGTCACAAAGACGTGGGCGCTCAGGTGTAGGTCTGGGAGTGAAGTGAGCCAGCAGGAGCCCATGGCTGGAGGCGGGTCTTTTATGTGCGTCGGACCTACGCACGCACAGCCAATGCCACTCCTCAGCGACACCTGCAGAGAATAGCAAACCTATACATGGCCACCAGAGGGCAGCCAAGACGGGGCCATGACATACATAATTCAGAGTGCATTCTTTCTCCACATTACTCACTGGTTTGTGCAAGGAACCCCATCTCCTGCTGAGAATAAGATACAACAAGAGCACAAGTTTTGTGTACATTTTGGTTTAAGTAGTCATCTCCTCCTGTCAAACGACGTGTCAGTAAAATTACGTATACAGCAGTTCAACTTGACAAGAAAGGATGCCAATAGGACTGCTATCATACAATAGTAGTGTGAGTACAGGAGCAGTTGACTAAGCCAAACCTTTATACTTAAAACCCACATACCACAACATGGAAGCATCAACACTTAATTTGTTCGTATTTCAACTTTTAAAATTCATTGACTTTATTACCGCCATCTTGGTTTGCTTCGGCTGCCGTGAGATGCGCATGCACAGGTTTGCATCAGATTATAAACAGCTGAGGCAGCCCAGAACACTGACAGAACACTTGTCTTAGCAAAACTGCTACATCAGACACAGAAAAGCGAAGGTACAGTGCCTTGCGAAAGTAGTCGGCCCCCTTGAACCTTTCAACATTTCGCCACATTTCAGGCTTCAAACATAAAGATATAAAAAATTATTTTTTTGTCAAGAATCAACAACAAGTGGGACACAATCGTGAAGTGGAACAAAATGTATTGGATAATTTAAACTTTTTTAACAAATAAAAAACTGAAAAGTGGGGCGTGCAATATTATTCGGCCCCTTTGCGCTAATACTTTGTAGCGCCACCTTTTGCTGCAATTACAGCTGCAAGTCGCTTGGGGTATGTCTCTATCAGTTTTGCACATCGAGAGACTGGAATTCTTTCCCATTCTTCCTTGCAAAACAGCTCGAGCTCAGTGAGGTTGGATGGAGAGCGTTTGTGAACAGCCGTCTTCAGCTCTTTCCACAGATTCTCGATTGGATTCAGGTCTGGACTTTGACTTGGCCATTCTAACACCTGTATACGTCTATTTGTGAACCATTCCATTGTAGATTTGGCTTTATGTTTTGGATCATTGTCCTGTTGGAAGATAAATTTCCGTCCGTCTCAGTTCTTTTGCAGACTCCAACAGGTTTTCTTCCAGAATGGTCCTGTATTTGGATCCATCCATCTTCCCATCAATTTTCGCCATCTTCCCTGTCCCTGCTGAAGAAAAGCAGGCCCAAAGCATGATGCTGCCACCACCATGTTTGACAGTGGGGATGGTGTGTTCAGGGTGATGAGCTGTGTTGCTTTTACGCCAAACATATTGTTTTGCATTGTGGCCAAAAAGTTTGATTTTGGTTTCATCTGACCAGAGCACCTTCTTCCACATGTTTGGTGTGTCTCCCAGGTAGCTTCTGGCAAACTTTAAACGAGACTTTTTATGGGTATCTTTGAGAAATGGCTTTCTTCTTGCCACTCTTCCATAAAGGCCAGATTTGTGCAGTGCATGACTGATTGTTGTCCTATGGACAGACTTTCCCACCTCAGCTGTAGTGATCTGCAGTTCATCCAGACTGATCATGGGCCTCTTGACTGCATCTCTGATCAGTCTTCTCCTTGTTTGAGATGAAAGTTTGGAGGGACGGCCGGGTCTTGGTAGATTTGCAGTGGTCTGATACTCCTTCCATTTCAATATAATTGCTTGCACAGTGCTCCTTGATATGTTTAAATCTTGGGAAATCTTTTTGTATCCAAATCCGGCTTTAAACTTCTCCACAACAGTATCTCGGACCTGTCTGGTGTGTTCCTTTGTCTTCATGGTTCTCTCTGCGCTTTAAACAGAACCCTGAGACTATCAAAGAGCAGGTGCATTTATACGGAGACTTGATTACACACAGGTGCATTCTATTTATTATCATCAGTCATTTAGGACAACATTGGATCATTCAAAGATCCTCACTGAACTTCTGGACTGAGTTTGCTGCACTGAAAGTAAAGGGGCCGAATAATATTGCACGCCCCACTTTTCAGTTTTTTATTTGTAAAAAAAGTTTAAATTATCCAAGAAATTTCGTTCCACTTCACGATTGTGTCCCACTTGTTGTTGATTCATGACAAAAAATTAAAATTTTATATCTTTATGTTTGAAGCCTGAAATGTGGCGAAATGTTGAAAGGTTCAAGGGGGCCGAATACTTTCACAAGGCACTGTAAAACAGACAATTTCTAACCCAGATAGATAACAATAAACCAAAAGCCCTTGGGAACAGGCATCAAATTGAGAACAGTTTTTAAGTTATATGGGTACATGTCTGATTTGTTTTTAACCAATGTCTCTAAAAGTGTGTAGTTGCCGCAGTTCCTGATGTGTAATGGTAACTTGTTCCAGGACTGCGTTACTCTTGAGACAACCATTTGACCAAATTTTGTTCTACGCCTCGGTACATTGCATTCACATTATCATATATTTTTTTAATGGAAAAGTGGACAATTGTTGGAAAGACACCATTATTCTGTTGCATTGTAAGTAACTTGTCTTAGTGGTGTTTCCGTATTCCCTTATTATTATCATATTAACAAAAGGTCAGTTTTAATCAGTGCTGGCAACAAGTTCACGTAATGCAATATCATTGAGACTTGTCTCAATGATATTGCAACTTGCAAGAATGTATACCAGTAAATTGTAAAGTTATAATATGTTTTATTTGTTTTTGTTTGTAGTGTCACTTCACACACACTGACACTTGACATTACCAGTCCGTTATTCACTGGTGTGGGCTATCGGATGGCTGCTCGTAAAGACGGCATCACAGCCTCTGTCTCTTCTCCAACGACTGGATTCCTGGGGCTTCAGCTGCAAAGGAGGTCCCCGTCACAGATGTTTGGGAAACTCTTCATCCGTTACTTGGTGAGATGTAATAACATATAGATTGTATTTTAGGAGTGGATTCACCGAGTCCTGACACCAGCCAAAGTGTTTGCAGAATGTGGAAGAGACTGGTTTCAACATAAGCAAGCCAGAGCCCATTTCCTTATGTGGTCATTTGTTCTGTCTGGTTAGCTACACGCTGTAACATGGGCAGATGCCAACAAAGGTGTTAAAATGGTTGCTAAGCCAAGCTAAGGCATCTGATTGGTCAATCATAATGGCTCATATCTAGATTTACAGAGATCATATCAACATAAAAAAAGAGGCCTGAATCAATACAAAAATGGTAAGTGTGACACAGTGAGTCACAGGAGTTTACTTTCCAATGTAAGTCAATAGGAGCCAGAGCAAGTTGGAGAGAAACTTGTCCCTTGTCATTATTAATTTATATATATTTTTCCTTTGATTTAGGAAACTCCTGAGAAAGACACGGACCTCGTCACGTTCAAAGCCACTCTGCGGAACTCCAAGAAGCTGGCACTGCAGTCCTCCTTCAGCATGGACACTCTAAACGACATCATGAAAGCGACAAAAGGCCGAGTCCCTGATGTAACCGAGTCCATTCTCAAAGTCATCAACAAATACCACACTGCGCACTTTGGTTTTGACCTGAACCGCGGCGGCATGAAGTTTAAAAACACACTATCCAACAGTGTAGAAAGATTTTATCACGAATTCCCTTTATCTATGAATGTGCTGCATGATACCGTCGACCATTGGAGCGTCAAGGGGATAGAAACGTACCGGAAAGCATCGGATGACCTCATGTCTTTCAGCTTGCACGAAATGGTCAACAAAGTGGACAAAATCTCTCAAAATGTTGACAAAGTCATATGGCAAGGAATTTTCAAATTTGAGTCAGAAACCAGAAAATATGCAAATGAGCTGATATTCACCATCCCAGGCTCTGAGGTGCAAATTTCCGCACGGGAAATTGTTTCAAAAATCAGATCAATGTCCATTCAAGCCACTGAAAGAGCAATAGAGCGGTTTACGATGCTGTTAGAAATTATCTCCAAGTATGTTAAGGAAATTGAGTTCACAATTCCTGGGACGGATGTTTTTGTAAATGGGGAAAACATTGTGAAACAATTAGATCGCAGTCAAAGAGAAATTACAATGGAGTTAAGGCATGTGTACAGTGATTGGAGCCTAAAGCTGGCAGAGATTTTTGAATTGGTTGTGGAAAAGGGACAAAATTGGGTGAATTATATCAGCGAGGAAAACAAGGAAATTGCATCTAAAGTCGAAGAGATGTTTGTAAATGCTCAACAAACACTGAATGAGAAAATCAACAATGTACACGGTATGATAGCGGAATACAAAGATTCAATCAAACAAATGTTACAGGATGTCTACCTCTCGTTTGATATGAACAATATAAATGAAGTGGTCCAAGGATGGATTGGATTCATACAGTCAAGACTTCACAGCGGACTCAAAAATAATGTTGATTTTCTGTCAAAGGCCTTGGAGAACACCGCGCCTCATGTGAAAGTGACCAGTAAAAAAGTAGAAGTGGAGATTTCTTTACCGTTTCTGTGGAAGTCGTTTACTGAGTGGCCGATAATACCAAGAGAGTGGTTCGAGTCACAAGATTCTATGTAATTTTAAATAGTGCATCATTTTAAATATGTTATTCCCATGTTAAGTTATCCATCCATTTTCTTCCGCTTCATCCGTTGCCGGGTCGCGGGGGCAGCAGTCTAAGCAGAGACGCCCAGACTTCCCTATCCACACACCTCCTCGTCCTCTAGCTCATCTGGGGGGACCCCAAGGCGTTCCCAGGCCAGCTGAGAGACATAGTCCTTCCAGCGTGTCCTGGGTCTTCCCGGGGGCCTCCTCCCGTGTGACTGAGCTCCTCACCTTATCTCTAAGGGAGCAGCCACTCTGTGGAGGAAGCTCATTTCGACCGCTTGTATCCGCGATCTCGTTCTTTCGGTCATTACCCAAAGCTCATGACCATAGGTGAGGGAGGGAACGAAGATTGACCGGTAAATTTAGAGCTTTGCCTTTCGGCTCAGCTCCCTCTTTACCACAACGGTCCGATAAACTGTAATAATCGCACGCTGCACCGATCCGCCTGTCAATCTCATGCTCCATCCTTCCCTCACTCATGAACAAGACCCCAAGATACTTGAACTCCTCCACTTGAGGAAGGACCTCTCCACCCACCTGTAGAGGGCAAGGCACCTTTTTCCGGTTGAGCACCATGGCCTCAGATTTGGAGGTGCTGATTCTCATCCCAGCCGCTTCACACTCGGCTGCAAACCGTCCCAGTGCATGCTGCAGGTCCTGGTTCGTTGGAGCCAACAGGACAACATCGTCCGCAAACAGCAGAGATGAAATCCTGTGGTCCCCGAACCGGACCCCCTCCGGCCCCTGGCTGCGCCTAGAAATTCTGTCCATAAACACAGGCTAAGTTATCATAAAGTAAAATGTTTTGCTTTGTTTAAATGATAGAGGAAACACATTAAAGATTTTTCATGTAATAATTGTGCAAGAACAAATATGATGTTTGTGCTTAATTTAACTTCAATTAAATATGTTTTGGAACAAATATGTGTTTTTTTTATAATCCAAGAAGCCAAAGCACTAAACTAAAGGAATGGGTGGTCCTCTTCTTCTTATAAGAACACATGATATAAGAACAAGGATCATTTTCAAATTAGAGTTGCTTGATTCTTGTCTTACACAGTAGAAATGGAAGGAGGCAACTGGAGACTGACCTTCTAGTCACCTTTCACAGTATTTCTAGAATTCTTACAAATATTGTCAACATATTTTGATTTCAGAGACTGAATTCTGCATACCTGCATTAAAATGTATTTGTAATGTATTCTGTTACATTCAGAGTACTGTACACAGAATAATATTATGTAACAATTCATCACATTCTTAAAACGTTGTCATAGTGTTAATGTTACAAATGTTTAGTTGTCATTGTATGTTTTACATATACCCTAAAATTGCGTGTATTCAAACTTTTGAAAAGTAACTCTTCTGAAAACCAGAAAGTATGTACTTTTGTTGTGGTGGATACTGTCTATTAGAGCCCTGCACTTGAGCCCTTGGCCCGAGGGCCCCGACGGCCCGACAGCCCGAGGGCCGGGCTTCGGGCCGATGACCGCATAATGACCTCGGACACGGGCCGGGCTCGGGCTCTTCATTTTCAGAGCGGCAGAATAGATTTACGAGCGCACCCACTGAATATAGCGTTCTATCACGCTGTAGTGTTTCTTGTTCTGTGTAGTGTTGTCATTGACGGCACATAGCGTTACTTACAGGTGTGTTGCAGCATCTGGGCATCATACAGCTGTGTATCATACGGATGTTCACTCTGCACCACTCCGCACACACAGAACTCATTGCAACACATCACTACCATGTATAACTCCGCCCTCTAGCTAAGTCTGCGTTCATATCAGTGCGCGGCACTATATACTACGCTAAAACATTGTTATGGGAGGTTACAAAAAAAAAAAAAAGGCGGGCTTGATGCGGGTTTCGGGCCTGAAAATTGAGAAACCATATCGGGCCGGGCCGGGCTGGGGCGCCACCCCCTCGGGCCAGGGCCGGGCTCGGGCCCAGATAATAGGCCCGTGCAGGGCTCTACTGTCTATGGGTGGAATGTTTTCTGCATGACTCAAGTTCAACATTCAGTTATGCCAAAATGTATTGCAGTAGATTAAAGCATTTACAAAAGAAGATGGAACCTCAAAATCAAAGGCAGGAAAGAAGTTATGAACGAATACACTCGACACAAAGTTATCAAACTTTTGAAGAAATTTGCTCCGCACTGGGCTGATAAGATGGATGAACAAATGGTAAATATCGTACACCGGCTTGGCCCGAAGGAGAACGGGAGAATGAGGAACATCATCGTCCAGTTTCCAAAAAGACACCATAGAGATGCAATTTGGAAGATGACAAAAGATTGGAGGATCTGCAAGAGCGCTGGTTTCAGGTTTGCTGAAGATCACACCGAGGAGGTCAAAGAGGCCAGAGAGTTACTATGGCCACGCGTTAAACAAGCACGTGAGGAAGGCAAGAAGGCTTATTTCCGTGGGCCTCATGGATATATCCATGGTCGTCGTATCTAGAATTAAAACCTTTCAATGTTTTATGTGGGTGATTATTGACAGGAGGAAGAAACCATGTTTACCTACTACCTTAACACCCTAAGCACCTTTTTAACATCTCTTGAGCAAAAACAATAGGCCCTTTCCCCGTTCGGGGCTCGGGCCTATTGTTTTTGATCGAGAGATGTTAAATTCTGCACTTTGAGCCTTAATTTGACCCCCTGAACATGCATGAAAAGTTGTAAAATTTTGCCCAAAAGTCAGACCTGGCAAAAAATGTGATATTTTGGTGTTTATTTTTATGGGACTCAAAAAATGCCAGAACAGCGCCACCTACAACAGCCAAAATAATACCCCCATGGGAGTTTTGGAGATCAAGTTTGTCATAGAGCCATGAAATTTGGTACACATGTTCCTCAAGTCAAGATGAGAAAAAAATATTATTATGGCCCCGCCCTCTGACAAACAGGAAGCCCATGAATTTCACTGCAAAATGGAAAAATGAACAGCTATAGTTTTCATACATGTCGGTTGGAAATCTTCTCCTCGGCCGTTTCACAGATTCTCCTTAAAATCGTTCCACATCATCTCAACACATGTACCATCAAAATGACTTCAGGGAATTTTGATCAGTGAAACATTGTTTGAGCAGCGGAGCGGCAAAGTGTGAGTGTTTTTTGGCCGTTTTTGACAACATTCATTTTTCTCCTGTTTGTACAAACAAATATTGATGCACAAAACTTGAATCCAATGTTCAACTCCAGAAAGAAATCAACACGGAGTGGAACAGTGGCGGCTGGTGGAATTTTCTACTGGGGGGGCTATGAATATGATGACTAGATATATATCAGCAGTAAGTAAGTTTACACTGACTGTTGTGACTGAAGCCTCACACGAGAATCAACAAGGTCACATGATCAGGCCTGTGGCTTTCATCCAGCTGGGATGAAATATTTATCTTCCCAAACATAGCTAATTTGAGGGCATTTTGCATGTGGATACCAGTCTGCTCATGCTTCTTTTCTGAAAAGTGCTTCAGATCAGTCATACCTGTCTTGATCCATGCTGGGTCAGATCCTGATGTTTGAAACAAGAGGCATGGAAAGCAAAATAAAGCATTAGCCTCGCTACATGCTGCTAGCCAAGATTTGGCGCTGAACCAGGTCCTGGAAAAAGTACGAGTGTACCGTCTCCCCCTGTCGCTGGACTGCTGACTAATGGTAATATTTGGCTGATCAGGTCCAAGCTCTTTAACCTCAACCTTCTCCTGGTATGATCTTCTCTCAAACGGTATTGTTTTGAGTGATCTAACTGAATTATTCTTTTTCTCGTTCTCCATTTTGCGTCTCTTTACGTTCGTCTCAAACTCCCACAGCTTGACCTGTCAATCACTGTAAACGGACGTCACAGACAGTGACAGTACAGGTCGCGGGCGATCCCGCCCCCTCAGGGCGCACTTCTCCTGCGCCCCCAAATCGTCTTATCTCTTGCATTGAAGAGGAGCTACTGCGCATGTACAACTTTTAACGAGAGTCCATAGACGCCTCAGGGCGCAATCTTTTGCGCCCTGAGGCGGAAATACGTCCTCAGTCCGACACAGACAACGCTGATGAGCTTAATCAATCCAACTCAGCATAAACTATAAAGTATTTCTTCCACATCTGAAATAAAACACACATACATTTCGAAATATTTTAATGTTATTATTTTTTTTAACGTTTTATTCAAGGTAACATGGCAAGTTGTGAGTGGTGGGGCGGCGCCCTAGCGCCCTCTATTGGCCGGCCGCCACTGGAGTGGAAGAGACTGTTTTCAAAGCAATATCTGGAACCACCATCGACTGGTGAAGTTTGGTGTTTTACTGAAGATTGTTGACGAGTTTTATGAAAGATCTGAACATGTTTTATGAGTTTTTGAAGTATTCTGAGTACCGAGTGAAGTACCGAGTTTATGAGTTTTTGAAGTATTGAGTTATGATGCTGTTTTATGTGTGACCAGAGGAGGGAATGTAGTGATTTCATAACACTTTTAAGCAAAGTGTTATGCAGTTAAAGTTCTAACTTCATTCTTACATATGCAGAAGCCTGTACTGCACACCGTGGCAGCTGCTGATGGGAGGTCTCTGTTTCTCCTGAGTATATTACTACTTGCTGTCTAACATCCCCTGTTCGTGTGCTTTTGTTTGTGTGTGTACCATCAACAATAAAACATGTCTTCTGTCTAAATTGAAAGACACGATCCCAGACTTTGGCTGATTCTTAACAATTCTTCTATGGCTACGGGAACAAATCATCACACGGCGGCGCCACCTCCTTTGTGCGGTGCTGCGTGGTACTGTGTGTTACGGCGTAGTGCAGATCCGTTTGGTGCGGGGCGGTGTGATGCGGGGCAGCGTGGTGCGGGGCGGCCTGATGTGGGGCGGCTTGGTGCGGGGCGGCTTGGTGCGGGGCGGCGTGGTGGTGCGCGCGGTGCGGGGAGGGCTGTTTGACGCCGCTTGCGGCTTTAATTTTGACTTTGTTTCTTTGTTTTTGTTTTGCTGAAAGGTTAACCAGCAGATGAATGTTCTAAAAGACAACTTAAGTTTTGTTTCATTGAATAAAAGGGGTCTTAAAGACAATCTAAAAAGAAAAGCCTCTTGTACTGCAAAGGAGTTAAATGTCACAATATTTTTCTTAAAGAAACCCATTTGTGTCTACTGGACAACGCAATGGGGAGATAAAATCCTTTTCAGCCATGGAAGTAATCGGTCTGCAGAAGTCACCATCTGCTTTGATAAATGCCCCGGTTATGTCATCTCATTCAAAGCAGACGATAATGGACATTGGTTGTCAGTTGTCATAAAAATTGATAATGCATACATAATCCTAACTAATGTTTATGGATATAACACTACCACCCAAAACATGGAGCTGTAAGAAATCACAGAAGTTGTTTCTGAATATAAAAGATTGTATCACACAGACTTGATTATCTTCGGAGGAGACTTCAATTTAGCACCGGATTTAGATTGTTATCCATCAAAATTCACAGATATGCAGTGTAATATAACTTTATTAGAATTTAGTAACACTTTTTCATTGATTGATATATGGACAAAACAAAAATCCCAACCTTAGACAATATCCATGGATTAAGCCTAATGGAGCAAAAAGGTCTCTGATTGATTTATGGTTAATTACCCCTGAATTGTGTAACCACGTCTCAGAGGTAACTATTTCAAATGCACCGTTAACTGATCCCTGTCTCCTTAATCTTAATTTAAAACCAAACATGAATACTAACAAAAGGAAATTTGTTGCAGATTTATTGAAAAACCAGCAATACTGCAACCAAGTTAAGGACTTAATAACAGAAATCAGATATGATGTAAATATTGGTAACTACTGTTGTAGATGGGAATTCTTTAAATTTAAGGTCAGACAGATGTCAATATGTTTTGGGAAGCAGGGAAGTAAAACTTTACGGGAACAGGAACTCAAACTGATGCAGGAACGGGACGAATATTGTAAGAAAACCCCAATGTTGGAATCGGACAAGGCTGCCTTTATCAATCTCAAATCCAAATTAGACGAGTTAAATTCTCGGAAAGCCAGGGGAGCCTTCGTTAGATCAAGACGGCCTCTCATCGGATTTTAAAAAAACTTTTGGGAAGATATAAAAGATCTTGTTTTCTTTGCCCTACAGGAATAGCAGCCAGCTATCTTCCTGTGGACTCACCAACCCCCCCAGAAATGGACTAATAAAGGGGTTGAAAATTAAATGAATGAAATCGAAAGTTGTGTCAGTTTTCAGATTTAGATCATGTCTGTTTCTAGATTACATGTAGGTCTGGGACTGGCCCCTTTTGACTCATGCATTTTGGTTTTTAAGATCACACCATTGTATTTAATCTTTGGGGAATTGTAATGATGTACATATTTAACAGGCAAGCACAATAGTGTCCCAGTATTTGGCTCCAGCTATCTTCCCATCAACTCTGACACTTCTCTGACCCTGCTGAAGAAAAGCAGACCCATAAGGGGTGGTGTGAGTATAAAGAGCAGTGTTCATTTCCCATTTATGATGTGATGTGACTTCATATGCGTGTGTGTGTGTGTGTTTTGTATGAAAAGCGCTTTATAAATAACATTTGATTGATTGATTGAGCACACATATACTGTGTTGCATTAAGGCAAACGGTTCCATTATGGTCTCATCAGACCACAGCATCTTCTTCCACATGTTGGATGTGTCCTCCACGTGGCTTATTATGGAGTTGTTTCCACAATGCTCTTTCTATTTGCCACACGTCCATAAGGGCCAGATTTGAGTAGTGCATAACTGATGCTTGCCCCACGGCACTACGCAGGAATTTCTAAAACGAGACAATGCTCCCTACGTGTGGAAACTTTTATATTCCCCCGTTCTGTATTACTAAATATTCCAAATCAAAGGCCTTTTCTTTTGGAGGTAAGATTTGACTTTGAGATAAACAACATTATTTCACTTATATCATTTATCAAGAATATAAAAACTTGCAACTTTTACCAATATGAAATTTATGAAAGTGTTATATGTTTGTGTACATATACATTGGGACGCCACTTTTACAAATATTCTAAGGAAGGACTGGTCTGTATCCGTTCAGGTAGAATGTCCAAGAGCAGGACTTGGCGTGGACATTGGAGGGCTCACTTGAGATGGTCAACCTGCCAAACCATGGCCCAGAACCACCTTCTGGTGGAGACTCAAAGGACACCAGGACATTCTCTGTACTTTTGGATCTTATTGTCTCTGGTCCTTTCACTGTAAATGATGGGTTATTCACCTAGGAGAAGAAGACAATATAACAAATGTGTTGAATAAGCGATTATGCTACTATGTTGTATGAATTAAAAGGGTCATACCTTATAAGTAAATATAGTGTTTTGCAAAAACACATTTTTGAAGGGAATATGTACAATTTGTCCTGCAGCCATGTAGAACGGTCCCTGTGGTTTGGGGTCGTCACACACTCCATGTAGTGGAAATATGTATTCACCTCCAGCAGGAGAGTGTAGTGTCAGTTGGGTTTTCACCTCTCCCAGCTGGTGAGGCTCAAAACACACATCAACACTGGTCTCGGAGCCTGACTGCAACCCCACCGCGTCAGTCACCTTCTTGTCAACAAGGAAATCTGGACAATCGGTCTGAAGCAATGACAATTACGTTATTAAATTGCGACACTACGAACACTTTACGATTCAAACGGTTCACACCTTGCAAGAGTATTCGGTCCTGGTGCGGGAAAAGTTGGTAAACTTGACAGTGACTGAGTGACTGGTCCCGAGAGATGCACTAAAATGAACCACTTTCTCCAAATGTGGCGACATAGCTCGAAAGAAGCAGGTCATAGTGAAAAGACCCCAATTTATTACAGCTCACTGTTAGGCGAGCTGTGGTCTTACCCGCATGCAAAGGCAGGTACTCAAAGGTCAGTGAATCCTTGAAAAGCACAGATCATTTCACGAGTTTCTGAACAGTAGCGGAAAACACATGACAGAATAGTAAATACGTACTTTGGAGTGTCCCGGGACAGTGTGGTGGAGAGGCACACTGATATCAGCACATTTACACTCCGTGGTAAGACACACATTTGTGGGAAGCGGGTTCTCTGTGTGGACTGTCGCTGAAACTGGTTGGCAGTTTGGACGCCAAAGAAAAGGACAAATCGGTCAAATGGTTTACAAGCACAGATCACGGGTAACAAAGGATGGTGTGGCCTTGAGGATAAACCGTGCTCTGAGTCTGCTGCACGCCATTTTGAATCTCCAAGACTCAAATAATACTAGTATTTATGTGGAGATCATAGATAGTTAGGAGTTTGTGAGATACCGACTATCATTATAAAAGTTACTATTAATAGTAAAGTGCAACAGAACTATCGGTCACAACAGCAGAGGTGGTAGCAGCCGATGTGTGAACAGCTGGTTCAGTCAGCCAGAGTCTGCTGGGTGGTCGGACATTTTCTCTTCTCTTGGTCAGAGTAAAATTTCTTAATGCTTGATTTGCATTTTCCACAAAATTAAATTCAGCATTCCTCCAGTGGATTTTCCGCTTGATCTGCATGGTGAGGACCATGTATCTTCTTCTGCTCGGTCCGGATCAGTAAAAACCATGACCTGCTAGTAACATTTATATGGTATTATGGATATTTTGCATTTTTCTAAGAAAGCAGATGTAGGTACTACTTGGTATCGGGTGCTCCTCAAGCAGTGCTGGTGTTACCTAAAACTATTAGTATTAGATTTTATTGTTGATTTGGGGATGAAAGTTTTCCCTATTAAGGAAAAAAAAACACCAAGATTTTGAGAGTTCATGCTTTTCCATTACATTGGAAAAGATTTTGAGCTTTTGATTGCATTCTTTTATGTAAAGATGCAGGGCCACTGCACGTGTGTGTGTTTGTGTGCGAGTGTGTGTGTGTGTATGTGTGCGAGTGTGTGTGTGTGTATGATGAGCAAGATGGATGGGATCTGCGAACCTCTCCTTCTCCCGCGGGAGCCTCTCACACTTCTCTCCTCTGATCCTCCTGGTTGGGCCCTGTCCCTCTCCTCTGCTCCTCCTGAGTTGGCCCCGTCCCTCTCTTCTGGCCCCTTGGGGACTCAGGACTGTATGGGGGTGACCCTGTCCCTCTCCTCCGTCCCCTCTCTATCTCAGGTGCTGTGTGAATAGCACCGAGGCCGAGGACCGAGCCATCTGCAGCTGAGAACGAGATGCTGGGGCGAATGCTGCGAAACTCACTGACATCAGCCTGGAGGCTCTGAGCTCCGCCCACCACCTGGTCCAGATCCGGGAGGCCCATGAACCGCTATGCAGGTACGTTTCTCCCAGCTTGGTTTTTTTTATGTCAGTAAATATGACATGGAGTTTGAAAGTTTGAAAGATGTCAGAATAAGAAGTAGGACCTACACTGCTCTGATGTCTTCATATACTCAGACCAGGACTTCAGATTAACCATAGAGACTTGTACACAACCAGAGCTGCTTTTAAGTCTGTTTCTCTGAGCCCAGGAAGCCAGACAAGAAGACCAGTACTAATGTGATGGTATTTCTGGTTCTCATCAAGCCTCGAGCTGCAGCGTTTTGAATAAACTGGAGCTGTTTTAAAGCTCATTTGGAGAGCTCCTTGTGAGCAGCCGTTATAGCAGTCTAATCTGGGAGACAAATGCAGGCGAAGACTCTCCTAAGTCTGCATTAGACACTTTATATTTATTTCTGATGTTTTTCAGATAGTGAAAAGCCTGCAGATGTTAGTGATGTGACTGCGTCATGTGACTTTGTTTACAATTTAAGTCCATTGATTCTCCTGACATTTCTGACTGTGGGTCGTAGTGAGGGATGACGAGAACTGCAGGTGACAGTTGACGCTCCTCTCTTTTCTGGGACAACCAATCATATCAGTTTTGTCTGAGTTTAACTGGAGCCACGTGTGATGTGAGTCTATGGTCTGATAGGACATTTCCCTTTGTGGAGTGGTAAATAAATGTGACTGCATCTATCTGCTGTATTTAAAACCACAGGAAACATTGTGTTTGATGCCTTTGCTCAGAATGAGATCGAGACTCTGAAGGCCGGAGAAACGACCGGCTGAAGTCCACGTGGGAACGACGCCGGCCGCCGCTCCCTGAGGCAGCACGGCCATCCTCTGGACACATCCAGCACTGTAGTCCTCGTCCTTCCTAACGCAGAGTCTGGGCTGTCCCTCAACAACCTCAAACATCACAGGACGCCTTATGTCAGGTCTGTACAGGGAGAAGGAACAAGGAACCAAAAACTAGGAACTCAGGAACTAGGAACCAGGGAATAGGTAACCGAGGAAAAAGGAGGCACACGACTACATTCAGTGTTTGTCTTGGCCAGAAACAGGAGAGGGGCAGAGATTATGAAGTCACATCGTGGACAAAAAATCTCTCTCTAGAGAGAGTGGATCAAAGAGAGAGATCAAGAGTGAGATCAAAGAGAGAGATCTGAGTGAGAGAGACCTGAGGAGAGACCCTGAGAGAGAAAGGTTACTGACGGCCACATGAGTGTGTTGTGTTTGTGTGCGTGTTGTAAACCTGTGTGTGATTGTTGCTTGGTGTTGGAATAGTCTGTGATTGTGCGTTTGTGCGTCGGCCTCTTTGTGTGTATCTGCTGAACTGTATACATTAGTGTATTTTTATTGGTATGTGCTTGTGTTATTTTTATACCAACCTGTATGTGGCAGTGTTCTTCCCACTTCCGGGGGTGATCTACGGTTGCAAATTAGCCTCAGGCTAACTCGGTACAAAGCATCCAAATGGAGGCATTTATGTTTTAATTTTACACTGTCCCTTTTTAAATAAATAAAAATTAAAAATAGAGAGCGAGTATAGAGAGAGACCAGAGAGAGATCAATGAGAGAGATCGGAGGAGAGAGAGAGGCCAGAGAGAGATCGAGGGAGAGACCATGAGAGACTTTTAAACGAAACAAAATTAAAAAAGTAATTTTTGAGATTTTTTCACAATTCCATTGATTTGGAAACTGGGAGTTCTAGTGTTCAGTTTTGTGTTTACAGCGACAGCTTTGAGGGTAACCTCGCGCAAAGAATGGTCGATGTGGAAGATCGTTTGGTGTCCTTCAACAGCAAGTCAAGACCTGGAAGGTCAGAGAGTTGAGATCCATGGACCGTGCAAAGGACCAGAGAAGAATAATACATGATGTGGTGATTTACAGGGGATGGTCTGTAGGAACATACCCTAATCGCGATCCATCGGCGGTCAGCGGGATAACCAATTGGGAAGTGTTGGATGGAGTCATCAGACGCGCTGTTTCAGGAGGACCTCTGACCTCTGACTCTCCCTTCAGTGATCACCGTCACAGACTGTTAGTGGCTGTTGGGGGGGGAAAACCCCCCCCCCCTATTTTTTGTAGACTCTTTTGTAGACCCATAACGATTTAAGCGAGGACTTGAGAGAAACCAGAGGGTGACTGAGATTGAGAGAGGGACAGGGTAGTGACTGAGAGATGGATGACAGATTAGAGACCAGAGGGAGACCAGGAAAGAGAGAGACCAGAAAAACCAGAGGGAGAGACCAGAGAGAGAGGACTAGAGTAGAGACACCAGAATGAGAGACCAGAGGAATGGTAAGAGCGGGAGGCAGAGAGAGACCTAGGAAAGCGAGGGTGTAGGGCTGAGAGTGGACACCACAGAGAATAGCATGAGGAGTGAGACCAAAGAGAGAGACTGGAAACAACTAAGGTTATAATATAGCTCTTTGGCTTTGTAACCTTGTATACACTCTCTTTCAGACGTCACTAACATACAGTACATTTGTTTTTGCAGTCTCTCTCTCTCTGGAGCAGTGTTGTCTTTCCGTTTTAGACAGTGTATGCTAGCCTCTTCTTCTCTCTGTTGTCGGCGCTCCGGAGTACGTGTTCCGCTGGACCCAGCAGCTCCCTGGCTCTCCTCGGAACAGCCTCGTTGTCGTTACCTCTCCAATGGGGGACGTGGTTGGTGCCGCTCCCACTGCTCTGACCTGCCCGTGCTGCTGCCCTGTGGGTTACCTCGGTGGGAGACGAGCAACGTCATCAAGTGTAACCTCAAGGTGAATCCTGGCCTGCTGACAATTCTCCATCATAAATCTCTCTTTTCTCTTTCTCTCTAGTGCTTTCTGGTCTCTCTCTCTCTCTCTCTCTCTCTGGTTTTATCATTGCCTCTATTCACATCTTCTCTAGTCTTCTCTATGATTCTTTTCTCCGGGTCTCTCTCTCTGGTCCTCTTTGGTCTCTCTTCTCGGTCTCTGTGTGTCTCTCTCAGACGCTCTGTCTTGGGCTTTCTCTCCCGGGCTCTCTCTACTGTCTCTCTCTGTGGTCTCTCTCTCTCTCCAATCATTTTCGGTGATCTCTCTCTTTGTCCCTCTCTCTGATGTATCCCTCTCTTTCAGTCTCTTCTCTGTAGTCCCTCTTTCTGTTATTCTCTACTGGTCTCTCTTTTGGTCTTTCTGGGGTCTCTGTCGGGTCGCTCTCTGGTCCTCTTCTTAAAACTATACTTGAGTATGTTTTTTTTTCCGCACAATCCAGATAGTAATCCTGACCTGACCATGTCCTTGCTGAACAGGCGTGAGAGAGAACAGCTTGGACTCTCTGGTGTTCGACACGCTCAACCCAAAAAGGCCCATCCTGCAGCCAGGTACCTGAACCTTGATGGTCTCCGGCGATCATCCTGTCTGGGACCCAGCTGGGCACAGGGAAATCCTTCCTCGCGCCAAGCTGTCAGAAGTACCTCCTGTGTCTGCTGGGACAGGATAGCCCAGCGGCGCAACGTGTGCCCGCTTCAAACGTGGACCACAACTCCAGCAAGGTGAGCACGCAGGATTGGACCAAGGGATTCAAGATGGCTGCCTGTTCACTGAAGCGAGTTAGCCCTTAGCTGCTACCTCCAGGAAGCTAGCTCACGATTAGCTTTTTGTTCTCTTCCCAATGCATATTCTGATCCAATTAAGATCAAGCGACATGGGTCACTGCCGCAAAGTTAGCTGTTTTTGCTGTTAACTAGAGATCCCAAAGTCTGTTGCGTTCATTCATGCAACATGCCCGTGTTTTCACGGTGCATGGTCAAAGTTTGCCGATTGCTGCTACTCCAAAAACAAATCGGAACTTTGAATTCCTGCATGGTCCAATCCAGTGACGTGTCCTGGCATTCACGAGTTAACGTTAGTTGGAGTTATGCAACATGTCTGCGCGTTGCAAAGCCTATGCGGACTTGATAGGCCGGACCCATTTATTGAGAAAATTATAACACCAAAATCCATAAAGGAAAAAAAACCCTCCAAATCCGACCTTTGTGATTGGGCTTGTTTGGAGGAGAGCCATTTTCCGTAACATTTGGGAGGAATTGCCCATGGGAATGTTTTCTGACCACGTCTCGCAAAAAAGGCTAAGGTTAAATGCCATGTAGTTTTGATTCCCATTAGCTGTGTAGCTCGGTGAGTGTGGACAGGTGTGCTCAGGGTTTTGGGGCGAATTTGCATTGTTTCTGCGCAGTTGGGAATGAGGCTGTAATTGAGTTTTCTTCTTATTTATATTTGTTGCTCCCTGCGCCACATAAAAATTCAAATAAACATAAAACTCTGTGTAGTGCTCGGCTTTTGATCACTATGTTTTGAAATCCATAAAGAAATAATCTACAAATCTGGGTGCAACTATTAGAGGTGCTTTGATCTTTATCAGAGCACACGAATGCCACTGCTTTCTTCGCTTCATACGGACTGTCTTCTGGGTTTTTGACAAATTCCCCTGAAAGCTTCTTCTTTTTCAGGGCATTTCAAATCGTGGTGAAAAAAATATTCATTTTTGAATACATTTTTCCATGGGTGAGGCTTTACTTTATGTATTGGACGACGTGTAACCGGTTAGACTGTATACGGTTATGGACGTTGCTAACCCGATTGCTCAATGAAGCCTAATGGGTTAGTGCTCATGGGGCAAAGTTGGGCTCCAAATTGCTCTGGCTCCTAATGACTTACGCGGAAAAGTTAACTCCTCTCGCCCAGTAACCATTTTTGGCAACTACACAATATTTCTTGAAAAAATCGGTGTTTTATGTGCTTTCTATGATTTCTGGTTATATTGTCTGTTGTAATCCAGATTGACCAATTGATGCCACTCCATTCGCTGGGAAAACTCAATTATACCTTAGCAACCGTCTTGCAAACACGTTGGTCACTTGTAAAAATGCTTAAAAGATAGAGCCACAGCTAGATATCCTATATAAGGTATTTGGCTCAGCTAGCTTATGTGTCAATTGCGGATGTTCTGCGTTGTGGCTACCTCCGTGGTGTTGTCACACTTGGGCTGGTCCATGATGGTGTGGTTGTGTGCAGGAGATTGCGTCTGGTACTGTCCAGTATGGAAGAGCAGTGCAACTCTGAGGACACGGGCTCAGCAGCTCCCCGGGTGCGTCACCTGGAGAACCTTGCCACCACATCGTGCGTCACTCAGAGACCTTCTTCAACGGCTTCCTGAACTGCAATGTACCACAAGTGTTCAGTAAACACGCCTTTACATGGAAAAATCCCTATTAAGTTGCATTATACTGGTTTACATGGAAAAATCCCTATTGCAGTTTCAAGGTTTCATGGGTTTCATGACTTCAACAGTTTCATGGAAGGTTGCATTATACTGGTTTACATGTACAAATCCATATTAAGTTGCTTTATACTGGTTTACATGTAAAAACCCCTATTAGGTTACATTATAGTGGTTTACATGTAAAAATCCTTATTAAGTTGCATTATACTGGTTTACATGTAAAAACCCCTATTAAGTTCCATTATACTGGTTTACATGTAAAAACCCTATTAAGTTGCATTATACTGGTTTACATGAAAAAAACCCTATTAAGTTGCATTATACTGGTTTACATGGAAAAATCCCTATTAAGTTGCATTATACTGGTTTACATGGAAAAATCCCTATTAAGTTGCATTGTACTGGTTTACATGGAAAAAACCCTATTAAGTTGCATTATACTGGTTTACATGGAAAAAACCCTATTAAGTTGCATTATACTGGTTTACATGTAAAAACCCCTATTAAGTTGCATTGTACTGGTTTACATGGAAAAAACCCTATTAAGTTGCATTATACTGGTTTACATGGAAAAAACCCTATTAAGTTGCATTATACTGGTTTACATGTAAAAACCCCTATTAAGTTGCATTATACTGGTTTACATGGAAAAATCCCCATTAAGTTGCATTATACTGGTTTACATGAAAAAAAACCCTATTAAGTTGCATTATACTGGTTTACATGAAAAAACCCTATTAAGTTGCATTATACTGGTTTACATGGAAAAATCCCTATTAAGTTGCATTATACTGGTTTACATGGAAAAATCCCTATTAGGTTGCATGATTACACTGAAGTCCTTGAAACTGCTGAAGTCCTTGAAACTGCTGAAGTCCTTGAAACTGTTGAAGTCCTTGAAACTCTTGAAATCTTGAAACTGCTGAAATCCTTGAAACTGTTGAATCCTTGAAACTGTTGAATCATTGAAACTGTAGAAATGTCTGAAAGAGCTGAAGTCCTATTAAAATGCATGGGCCTATTAAAATGCATTGCAGAATTCTCAATGCAGATTTTTGTCCGATTGCGGAAAAACCGGAAATCGCTGAAGTCCCAAAAGTAATAGCAATAATCTCCCAAACATGTGGAACGTTTTGATGTATAACTTGTGGAAATTGTTGAAAATGTGAAAGCTGTGAAACGTGTCAAAAAAAATGACGGAATAAAGAAATACAAAACCAATGGTTGACTGCGGAAGGTTCCGCAGTCAATCAATAATCTCCCAAACATGTGGAACGTTTTGATGTATAACTTGTGGAAATTGTTGAAAATGTGAAAGCTGTGAAACGTGTCAAAAATCAGGAAAAAGACGGAATAAAGAACACCAAAACCAATGGTTGACTGCGGAAGGTTCCGCAGTCAATCAACAATGTCCGTTGATTGACAACAAGTTATTGATTGACTGCGGAACCTTCCGCAGTCAACCATTGGTTTTGGTGTTCTTTATTCCGTCTTTTTCCTGATTTTTGACACGTTTCACAGCTTTCACATTTTCAACAATTTCCACAAGTTATACATCAAAACGTTCCACATGTTTGGGAGATTATTGCTATTACTTTTGGGACTTCAGCGATTTCCGGTTTTTCCGCAATCGGACAAAAATCGGTCGATTTTTCCCATTGACTTATAATGGGGCTTCCACAAATTCATAGTTTTCAGAATTTTCTTCAACATTTTCAGCATTTTCTGCAGTTTGTGCATGTTCAGCTTCCACAACTTGTGAGTTTTCAGAAAAAAATAGAGTTCTGCAGTTTTCCAGTTTTTTTCTACGGGACTTGGGAATTCTGCCATTAATTTGCATTGAGAATTCTGCAATGCATTTTAATAGGCCCATGCATTTTAATAGGACTTCAGCTCTTTCAGACATTTCTACAGTTTCAATGATTCAACAGTTAAGGATTCAACAGTTTCAAGGATTCAACAGTTTCAAGGATTCAACAGTTTCAAGGACTTCAAGAGTTTCAAGGACTTCAAGAGTTTCAAGGACTTCAAGAGTTTCAAGGACTTCAAGAGTTTCAAGGACTTCAAGAGTTTCAAGGACTTCAACAGTTTCAAGGACTTCAACAGTTTCAAGGACTTCAACAGTTTCAAGGACTTCAACAGTTTCAAGGACTTCAACAGTTTCAAGGACTTCAGTGTAATCATGCAACCTAATAGGGGTTTTTACATGTAAACCAGTATAATGCAACTTAATGGGGATTTTTCCATGTAAACCAGTATAATGCAACTTAATGGGGATTTTTCCATGTGAACCAGTATAATGCAACTTAATAGGGTTTTTTTCATGTAAACCAGTATAATGCAACTTAATGGGGATTTTTCCATGTAAACCAGTATAATGCAACTTAATAGGGGTTTTTACATGTAAACCAGTATAATGCAACTTAATAGGGGTTTTTACATGTAAACCAGTATAATGCAACTTAATAGGGTTTTTTACATGTAAACCAGTATAATGCAACTTAATGGGGATTTTTCCATGTAAACCAGTATAATGCAACTTAATAGGGTTTTTTACATGTAAACCAGTATAAAGGATAACAGTTTAAAGGATATCAGGAGCTTCAAATACTTCAGGAGTTTCAAAGATGTTTAAAGTATTTTAACAGTTTCAAGGATTTCAAGGATTTTTCAGCTAAATTCCACATTAAATCTGTTCCGCAGTCAATCGCAATGGCTTCAGCCATTGCAACGGTTTCTAGTTAAAAATAGTTAATATATTAATGACACCGTAACCAGCGTGTCCTACAGCAGCAGCGAGCCGTGAACGCATCATCCCCGTGTCTCCTGCTGCATGCTGTGGTCAACAGCGAACAGGAACAATAGTAGAAATGGATCAAGTGGAGACAAAACAAATTCAAAACTAGAGACAAAAATTGCAATTGGAAGGTGAGTGCGTACAACAGGAAATCTGATGTGTCGGATTCTGTCGGGCTCGGGCCTGTTATACAGCGTTCATTGGTCGGGCTTATACGGGCTCGGGCTTAACATTAGCGGGCTCGGGCCGGGTCGGGCTTCATTTTTCAGTCCCGAACGAAACTCTAGGCTGCACCAGATAATCCACGGAGGGGTACTCACGGGCGAGGCAGAGCCTTCTTGCTCTGCCCGTGCGTGGAAATGGCACACAGGAGCAGGCTGGGTCGCTGTTCGGTCTGGTCCTGTGGAGCCGTGGTCTCCCGACGTCCTCCGCTCTCTCGTCCTCGGTCACTCTTGGTTCCTCCATTGTGCTTGCCTTTTCTGCTCGGCTCGCTTATTAGGCACAGGTGTGTTGAATGTGTGGCGCTCAGGATTGGACAGGGC